TGACAAACCATCTGCTTAACAGAATTACACTGAAAAGTAATCGAAACTACATGGATTCTTAATGGTTCCTGAACCACTTCTCCCACATAACCTGCCCAATCTTCTGAGAATAAGATTCTGTCCAGCCTTCTGAGAATGGTTGGAATTTGGCCATTCGACCATGTAAACTTCCCTCCAACCAATGGTGGATCAATCAGCTCATTATTGGTTATAAATTCTTCAAACCTCCTCATACCTACAGAAGTTCTTCTCTCCCTTCCCCCCTTCATTTCATTCCTTCTCCTTACCATGTTGAAGTCCCCACCTACACACCAAGGCCCATCCCACTTTTGTCTCATCCCTCCTAATTCCTCCCACATCTTCTCCCTCTCCCCCTCCTCATTTGGCCCGTACACATTTGTTAAACCCCATCTCCAACCCCCATTTACTTCTTGTAAGCAAACTGAGACTGAGAACAATGCAACATCCTCCCCAGCCTTTTTAAAGACCCCAGAATTCCATATAATTACAGCTCCCCCTAACAGACCCAAAGCTTTAAGCTCCACCCACTCTCCTCCCTCTTCCCCCATATTTCATTTTTCAATTACATATCAAAGTTTAACAAATGTGTTAAACCACCTCTGGTTTAAAGCTTCAAAACAAGTTCCTTACTATCTCCCATTCTCCCTCATCCTTCCATCCCTCAACCCTCTCACATTCCAGCTAAGAATCCTCGTCTTCCTCCCCCTCCCCCAAATTACTTGAGCTCGTCCAACCCTTCCTCTTACTCCTCCTTCCTCATCCCACCCCTTTATTTTTTCTAAATATTCTTCCCTCTTCTTCTTCTCCTCTCATTTCTTTTTTTCAAACTTTTCAAATGTTATTTTCACAAACCCTTCCCCTCCACCAATCTTTTTATCTCCATTTATTCACCCTTTCAAGCTCCAACACTGGAACTTACTATGTCCTTATTGGCCTTTGATAGCCCACCAAAATCAGCTTCCACTTCCAAGAAAGCATTCCTAGCAAAATCCTTTCCACCTAAGAAGAATAACCCCAGCCTTTTTTATCAGTAAACTTAAAGAAATATTTATTGATACAGAGAAAATTTACAAAGGAGAGCAGCCTTGGCTACCTTTTGAAAAATAGAGAGATTATTAGCTTGGCAAAGGAGATTGGGGTGTATTTTAAATGGGTAAGAAGGTCAGCAAATGGAATGGCTGACACTTTAGCTAAGCAAGGAGCTACTAGGGAGGCTTTGTTTTGGGCTTGTTTGTAAGTTTTTGTTTGTTTTGATTTTTTTTTTTTTTCATCAATAACAATGAGAGTTTTTGTTTTGATATTCCATCCATTTTGTGGGTGGTAAATCTGTAATCTTTTCAATTCTTTAATGAAAGTTACCATTTCCTATCAAAAAAAATAGAGAGCACCAAAGAGACAACCCCAGAAAAATAAGGGGTTTGCCAATGTGTCTTGTAAGTTTTTGCTTTGATATTCCATCCATTTTTGCGCCTCACCTTACCTAACTCCTTGGAGTAATCCACCTGCATCCAAAAAGAGCAAAAATTCTATCCCAAATATAACCTGCAAATGGGCAAGAAATAAAAAGATGAAGGGCAGATTCACCATCTAGGTCTTTTCCTTTGCATCGAATCGCAAGTGCTGCATCATGGCAAACTTCCCAGCAAAAAGCACTCACTTTTGGAACAGGACAGAACCAAACTTCCTTAACTGGGAAAGAAGCTGAGAGGGAGAGAGGGGCAGCCAAGGCTTCTAAAAAGGGGGAGACACTAAAAGCCCCCGAGGGATTACCAGTTCACACCCGAGTGTCTACTCTAGTGCCGTCGAGGAACACCCCTTCCAGCAAAAGGAGGTTGGAGACATGAATCAATTCTGAATCTTTGACATTTCTCCAGAAACCCAAATTCCACCCAAACCCCGAAAGTGAAGGAGAAGGGAATAGGAAGTCAGCAATAGGTTTACCCTTGAGAGATGATAAAGCAAATAGAGAAGGAAATGTAATCTTCAAGGGATTTTCACCCACCCAGAGATCTTCCCAGAATCTTACTTTATTTCCCAAGTTGAGATCATACCTGATGTTATTAAGGAAAAGTGGAAGGATCTTGTGGATTGTTTTCCATGGTGCAGCTCTAGAAGCCCTGCTAGAGACCCCAGCATCCCACCCGTTCTCAAAGAGCCCATGAATGCCAGTCACCACTTTTGCCCAAAGTCTATCTGTCTCCCATAGGAATCTCCACAACCATTTGCCTAATAATGCCCTATTTTTATCCTTAATCCTACCCAAACCCAAGCCACCTTTCTTCTTCCCTCTACACACAATATCCCATCTAATGAGATGATCCCTCTTCTCCTCCCCTGATTCCCACAAAAAATCCCTCATGATCTTCTCAAATATTTTGACAATGGGCTGAGGCATTTCAAACACCGAGAGAAAATAAACCAGGAGGTTTGCTAAAATTTAATGAGAGTTATCCTACCCCCTAATGAAATGTAGTTTCTCTTCCAGGTAGAGAGCTTCTTTTCAAATCTTTCCACTTCTAGATCCCAAAAACTCAAAGATCTAGGGTTAACACTTAGCACCAAGAGGGAGTCCTAAATATTTCAAAGGCCAGTCGCTTGAGCCACACCTCAGTTCTCTAGCCCACATATCTATCTCCTCTTGACCCATGTTGACCCCTGCCACCACACTTTTGCTCAGATTTACCTTTAAGCTTGTCACCTTCTCAAAAAGCCTCACTAAAAATCTTTGGTCTCTAGCACATTGATCTCCCTCAGCTTCACAGAAAATGATAATATCATTTGCAAACTATAAGTGGGTGACCACCACTTCCTCTCTTCCTATTCTCCATCCCCTAATTATGCCCATCTCATCAGCTTTTGAAATCAATCTGCTAAAGACCTTGGCAACGAAGGTGATAGGCATTCATCAAAAATAAATAAAAAAGGTGACAGGGGATCTCCTTGCCAGACCTCATCATCCTCAACCTTTTCCATTTCTGAACCATCCTCTAAAGGTGTTGTTCTGTATTTTCTTCTCTGGTAGACCCTTGTTTTGTTTACTTCAATCTCTTTGCTTCCTTCCTTTTCCTCCGCTTCCTTACATAGTTGTCAAGGTGACACCTAGGCGACAAGGCACCCTTGGAGGCTCGCCTCGCCTAATCGCCAAGCAGTTTTCTATAGTGTGTTAGACAAAACTTTTATATTCTTAATTTTTTAAGGTTATAATTTTAAAATAGGCATTTCTAAACTAAAATATTCATTTTGTGTGTTTATATACTAATTTCTTTTTATTATTTTCTTATTTGTTAGGGTTTAATCAACACAAACATTGCTAAATGCTGTATTGAACCCTGAAAGACTTCAAAACCTGAACCAATAAGGAAGAACTTAAAATGTTGTCTAACCAACACATTTACTTCTTTTTCTTTACTAATTTTGTGTGTCTATACTATATACCAATTGCCTTCTTCCACCTTTTCTTTTCTTCTTTTCCTATAACAGAAATAGGGGTTCAGCCCTTATATTTTTTAAAATTTCTTCTCTTTTTTCTTTTTTTCTCATGAATATGTTGGAATATGTTGATTTTCTATACTTTAACATGAAGTTTATACTTTTCTCATGAAAATTATGGACAATTTATTAAGGAAATATGATTATGGAACCTAGGGAACTACCCTAGGATACACATTTTTACTTGAAAAAATCCATCGCCTAGGCGACTAGGCCTTGTCTCCTAGCCTCGCCTTGGCACATTGAAAATTATGCTTCCTTATAAAGACCATTCTTTACCTGCACCTCCCCCAAACTATCCTCCTCATCACTTGTAGTCTTGATTTTCTCTTCCTCTTTCCCTTCCTCTCCTTCCAACCTCATAGTTCCCTCCCTTATATAAACAAGAACTAATCTAGACCCTTCCCTGAATCCTTCAACCAACCATTGCAATACCTTGCCATCAAGAGAAAGTCATGGCACCCCAATCCCATTCACTTCTCCCTTTCCATTTGATTCCCCCTCTGCTCCCTGAGAACTGGCATTCAAATTCCTACTTGCACCAGGTCCCTCATCTTCTGAACAAACACAGGTAGGGGAAGATGAAAGACCCACAATGGTATCCATTGTCACCCCTCCCAACCTAATCACCTCCACCAGCACATTGATACAGGTACAAGTATCCTATTTAATACACTGGGACTTAAGTTTTATATTTAGCTTTCCAAGCTATGTATCATTATTTCTTAATGATTATAATTTAATTAGACTTCTAATTTCTACAAGTTTATAGTATGGTTTTATAAAAGTATCCTATATAAACACTGATTGAAAAGTATGTATCCCCTATAGGCCTATAAGTGTGTATGCAGTATCAGTTTCTTAGGCTCTGTTTGGGAAGAGTGCAAATGTCGGTTTGATTCATTAATGCACTCTGGTTCAGTTTTGCAGGTGTTTGATAAGAATGCATTTGAGTATTGAAAATGATAGCAATCATGAATTCCAAAACATGTTTGCGCTCAAAATGAGAGCAAAGTCTACATCCAAAAAATGGATGCAAACTTTTTTTCCACTGAAAAGTTGGTTAATGTAAAAAAGGTATATCAAGTCTTGGAATTCGTGTTTCCATCCATCACAACTAAAAAGTGTTTAGCAAGAGTATGAAACTATCATTGCAAAACTAAACGAACTTTGCATTTTTATCAGCTAGACATATTTGTATTTGCACTCTTCCCAAACGGAGCCTTATCAAATATATATAGTGCCTCATATAGGCTGTACTGAGGATGTATATGCATTTGACTATTTGAGTAAAATCAAATACAAAGCCTACGGTTCCAAGATAAAAGCAAGAAAAAGCCACAGAAAGAGTGAGAGATGCATCAGGCCTAGGATAGGATATAAACCTCACTTCCTCTGGGACAACACTCTTATACAAGAATGACAAGGAGACACTAAACAAATATTAAAATAAGCAGAGACTTTGCAAGACAAAAAACAATAAAAAGTACCTCATAGAAGCAAAGATCTAGTCATAAACAGGATACTTCTGTAGCCAGAACCCATGCAAGGTCAAGAAACAACTTGCCTGCAAAAAGAACAAGGCAAAGTACACGACATAAGATCTAGTCTATGGAATATAGAATACAGAAATGTAATAAATACCTTTTTACTCAGTAGTGCAACCAAATATTTGATGCAGACCTGAGTACAAGAAAATGCCACTTAAAAAATGGGGCTTCCTTGCAAGGAGTTATTTTGCAGAAGTTCATCTTTAGCTTTAGAAATCAACCTCTGCTGCTGCCTGAGAACCCACTGAGACTGTTAACATAGATCTGAAATTCCAAATCTAGCAAATCCTTGTATTCCACTAGCAGGTCAAGATTTTACTCAGAGATTGTTACTCAAGTTTGGAAGGCTCATTAATAGACTGAATTGGCTTAGCATTCTCTGGAAGCAGACCCCGCTTGATAATACCTTCTGATATTAGAGTAGCTTCTCTTGAAAAGCCTGAACTACACAGACCATGAACCAATGTGGTATACGTAATTTCATCCAACGTAATGCCTCTTTGCATCATCTGATCACATATTCTGAAAGCCTCTTCTATTTTCCCTCCTTTGATGAATCCGTATGTCAATATGTTATATGTCACAATATCTGGAACAACACCATTCTCCACCATCGTCCCTAGAATCTTGGCTGCTTGTTGCATGTCACCCATCTTAGCATATCCATTAATCATAACAGTGTAAGTAAACTTATTTGGAGCTATTCCGTATGCAGTCATTTCCAGCAAAATGTTACTAGCTCTGTCCACCTTGCCTAACTTACAATACCCATCAATCAGCGAAGTGTAACAGAAAACTTCCGGTGTCAAGCCTTCTTTTCTCATCTCATCAAGAAGGTCCTTAGCTTCCTCAACCTGGCCAACTTTGCACATCCCATGTATTAATGAGTAGTATGTCCTAACAGTTGGTTTGATACCCTTATTCCTCATTTCATTGCAAACCCTAATGGCCTCCAATATATTTTTGTTTCTACAGTATCCTCCAATTAAGGTATTATATACAACAGAATTCAGCTCCAGCTTTTGGTTAACCAATTCATTGAAGAGACTTTGCCCTTCTTCAACTCTCTTAGATTTGCAAAATCCATCTATCATGATGCTGTACATTGAAAGATCAGGCACCAAGCCATCTCTTTTGCACTCATCCCAAAGACCAATAGCTTCATTTATTTTGCCTGTATGACATAGTCCTTGTAACAGTGCACCATATGTGATGATATCTGGTTTAAATCCTTGCTTAACCATATCTTCCTTTAGCTTAAACCCTTCTTCCAACTTCCCCTCCTTGCAACACCCCGAGATGAGTGTGTTGTATGTGATCCTATCCAGTGTCAGTCCTCTCTCAAACATCTCTTTCAGAAGTCTAACTGCCTCTTGCATATTACCACACTGACAGAGCCCATGAATCAAAGCATTTGAGGTTACTGTATTGGCTCCAAGCCCTTTCTCCAATAGCTTAAACCAAACATTGATTGCCTCAGAATGCTTCCCCCCTTTACAAAGCTCACTGACCAGCTTTGTCAGAATCCCATCATTGGGTCTTAAATTCCTCAGCACCATCTCCCTAAAGAGATAAAACGCAGTATCCAACCTAGATTCCATGCATAGCCAGTGGATAACTGAATTAAAGGCAAAAGGATTTATGGAAACCCCTCCAGATAACATCTCCTCCAAAATTCTCTCAGCTTGTTCCATCTTACCAACCTTACATAAACCTTTAATAAGTGAATTGTAAGTTACTGAATTTGGATAGATCCCCTTGGACACCATCACGACCCTTATTTTTGAAGCTTCCTCAAAATTCCCTACTTTGCAGTACCCATCAATTATTGTGTTATAAATAACTTCATTTGGAGAAATTCCCTTCTCTGACATTTCCCTTAAAATGCAGCTTACATCCTCAAACCTCTCAGATTTCATCAGACCATTTATGAAAATACCGTAAGTTTTAAGGCTAGGGCTCAGACCACTGTTAACCATTTTCTCCTTGAAGCTAAAAGCCTCCTCTAAATTTCCTTTCTTCAAGAACCCGTCAATAACTGTATTATAGATAACTACATTGGGAGATATTCCCGACTCCTCCATTTTCAAAAACAACCTGGTAGCTTCTTCAATTTTCCCAGCCTTGCAGAATGCATTAATTGCAATTCCAAATGAGTAAACATCAAATGAGAGACCTTTATACATTATCCTAAAAACCTCATAACTACTCTCGAGTTCATTCGCCTTCACAAGCGAACCCAACAGGAAATTACATGTCTTCAAAGATGGAAACTGACCGTGACCCGTCAGCAACTGAAACACATCAAACGCAATCCCCAATCCCAAATTCTTAAATTGCGTGCAGTATACATGAACTAGCAAATCAAACACCGAAGTTGTCGAACTCGAACCAGCAATTGCCCGGGCAATCTCAAGATGCCTGTCATTTCGATTGTCAAATATAACAGGCACATTTCCATCTATTAAACGGATCAAAAGCAACCGGGCGGGCACAATGGTATTCGATCCAACAAGCAGACTAATTAGAAGGCAATAAGATCTGACCGTGAAACGGAAACCAAGTGATTGAGATGCAAATGTGAAGAAATTCAGTGCAGTCTTAGGGTTCACAGAGTCTCGCATGTCAAAGAAGAGACGATCGAAATGATGTGGTGACAAATGACAGAGGACTTCTCTACATTTGGAGGTATCGAGAGACTTGTTTGAAAGGATTGAAGCTACCTTATTTAGAATACTCCGATCGTATGGTGGCGGCGGCGGCGGTAGCGGTTGTTGTTGTTGAGGATATTGCTGTTGAGAGGTAGAGGTGGCGCGAGACGAGCAACGGATGAAGGATAAGACCAGAGGTGTATGTTTGGGCTCTATGGAAGTAGCGATTCTTCTCAAATCCATAGATGACAGAAATGGAGAAAGAACCCTGCAGATTTGTTTTCAGACGTTAAAAGAAGGAGGTTTCGGTGGCAGTGGCAGTGGCCGTGGCAGTGGCCGTGGCGGTGGCGCCATGAGAGTCTCTGATCATCGAAAGGAGTTAAATGTGGCCACGCTCAGTATGACGGAGAGAGATGGCTTCAACCCCTGCCACAAACGGGCGAGAGGGAAAATGCCTTGGGGAGGGTTTCAGCCCCTCAGGTTCAACTTCTCAATTAGGTTGTGAGTCTTGTGACTTGTGGATGGAAGATCCGGGTCTACCCGAAACCAGTCCATGACTATTAACTGCAAGTCTGCAAGGTACAAAGCTACAAATACAGAAATGTTCAATACCAATTCGTATGTGTGATTCATACAAATGCAAAGTTGTTTTGTAATAATAATTTTGTGCTCTTGCCAAATGAGTTAATAATTGTGATAGGTATAAATACAAATTTTAGACCGAAATCCACCATTTTTTATATTAAAATAAAAATTGAGTGTGAATGCCTCTTGAAATCCATGTCTCCCTAGCATTGACAAATTATCTCCTCTCAATAAAAGAAGTTCCAACTTGGAATGGCAATGGGGTGGGGCAAGGATGGGGAGCCATTCTCCATTCTCGTCCCCGTTCCCGTCCCCATGAAAATCCCTATCGGACCTATTCATATCCTCATTGGCGGGGACAAGGTTATCTCCATCCCAGTATTTTTTTATGATACCAACCATTTTGTTTTTATTTTCTATTTTGTTTTAAAATTAAAAATAAAATAGTTAAAATTTACAATATTATTAAATCAAATCCAAATATATTCAAACATAGTCAATCATATTTTTAAAATAGGACAAATTTCTTAAACTATCCTTATGATTTAGTTAATTTACTAATTTTACGCTTACTGTTTACATATTGTCTTAGATTACCCCTAAGTTTTCTGACATTTATCCGAAACCTCTTGTCATTGATATTCGTTAATGGAAAGATGAAAAACACTATTTTACCCATTTCTTTCCTTCAAATTTTCAAAATGAAACAAGAAAAGGTAAAGTTGTCTGACAAACCCTTTCTACCTCCGGTTGCCAAAGCCTGAAAACTTGGCTCTCTATTTAATGCAAAAGAAAGGGGTCTTTTTCCTCTTCTCCCTGTCTTTCTACAAACTTGATGAAAACAGTTTGTTTCGTTATTCATTCTTCTTGACAGTGGAACAGGGGACGGCACAACAGTTGCCCCTCATCGTTGTTGTATAGCCATCACTGGAATCAGTACTTGACCCAAGACCTTGTCTCTTCCTAACCCTATTCAATCCTCCATAGAGACCATCAAATAATCTTCCAAGGTCTTAGGGATGACGAATAGCATATCCTCTTAGCACCTGGTTTCCTAGTTGGGCCTTTCCCGAAAGCTCTATTCCTCGCCATTGCCGACCCTTTTTATATTATGACTTTTTATGCTTAGGACTCTGACCGCCAAGCTTCCATCAGTCTTCCTAAATCCTAGTGTCAAGTCTCAATCCTCTTCCAACTTTTAAGATAAAATAAAGGTTAAGCCATCATTCCAAATTCATTCTATTCTTGTGAAAATGAAATGGTTTGTACCCCTAATATCAACAGGGGCTGATATTTACAGTTTAATCTGTCATAGCCACAGCATAAGGGCAGAAGCTTACTAATACAGGCTTCAGAAATTTGCCTAATGCAGATATCAGATTGGATCCTATTGAATCGACTCGGCTTTGTTGATTTGTTTTGTGTTCTCTAATATCAGTGGCTTTCTTCATCCCTGTGTTGTTGTCAGTGACAACTACTGTAAAGAATGTGTGAAGAGCTCAGTTTGTTGCTGTTGAAAGGAAGAAGAGTGAAGAAGGAGGAGGGAAAGGGATGAAGGGTAAATTTGTGTTTAAAAAAAAAATATATGTCACGTGTGTATGGGTTTTGACATAACACTAATGGATGCTAACGGAAAGGGTAGAGCTAGTCAATTGTCAAAAACAATAAGGTTGGTTTAAGACAATAGTTAAACGTGTACGGTTTGTCAATTAGCTAAACAATAGGGGTAGTTTAAGAAATTTTCCCTTAAAAATATTATACATATGTATATAGATAGGGGTGGGCAAAAAACCAAAAAACCGAACCGACCAAAAAAAATGACTGAAATTGAATCGAATAATCGGTCAACCGAACCGGTCAATTCGATTTCGATTAACCATTTAAAAAAAATGGTGGTTAACTGGACCAACCGATATATATGCAATAATATATGTATAATATTATATATTATATATATATATATATATATATATTTTTTGAAAATCGAATTCGGCGGTCTGAGAGACTTTTAGCCTACCGATTTATTTATTTGAAAATTGGCAGTCTTGTCTTTTCCCCAGAGCCCAAACTCCTCCTTCTCTTTTTTCTCTCTCAGTTTCTTTTTCTCTTTTCTCTCTCACTCTCTCAGATCTCTCTTAACTCTTCTAACTTCTTGTCTTCTTCGACAGCAATTGCGCGGCCCTGCGCCAACCACCAACAACATGGCAGGCAGCAATACCAAGCAGCAATGCCAATCGCTGCCTCGCCGACAACGCCATCTATATCTCTCTTCTCTCTCTCTTTCACCTCTCCTCTCTACGTCTTGGTCTCAGTTCTCTTAACTCTTCTAACTTCTTGTCTTCTTCGATAGTAACCACCAAGCAATCGCGCGGCCCGCACCAACCACCAACAGCACAGCAGGCGGCAACACTAGTCACCGCCTTGCCGACAATGCCATTTGTATCTCTTTTCTCTCTCTCACCTCTCCTCTCAGTGTCTCCGCCAGGCACCATCTCTCAAGTCTCAAGCTCTCACTTCAGGCAACACTCAACAGCAACCACCGGTCCACCGATGCTAACCAATCTAGCATTGATGGTAACCACCGGCACTGAGAACAACCACTGACTACAACGGTTTTAGTTATTTTTTTTTTTATTTTAAGTGCATAAAAAACTGAAAAATTGAAGCGCAATTATCCGGTCCACCAGTTAACCGGTTCACCGATTGCATCGGTTCGGTTTCGATTTGGATATTTAAAAAACCGATTAGATCGGTTCAATTTGAAAAAATAGCCCACAGTCAAATTGTGATCACCCCTATATATAGATACAAGCATACACATATACATATATATAAGTAGGGATCCCTTTAGGACTAGAATCGGGGGCCCCATAGGGCAAGGAATACTCTCCCCGTCCCTACCGACGGGGATGAAAATTTCCCTACCCCCACCCCATTTGGGGTGAGTTCCCATGAGGGTCAAGGAAATGGGGAAAACTGCCATCCCTGGTTCCAACACAATCTATGACCACACATCTCATGCATGGTGAGATGTGTAGACACCGATCATGTTGGAAGAGCACTGGAATGGTTTTCGTTGGGAAGAGATCTCAACTTAAAAATATGTTGGAAATATATATAACACGGTCGTTCTTATAATACAACAAATAAGGTTATAGCCCAAACTTGGATTATGCATGGTTGCTTGGTTGAGTTGTTGAGATCTATTTATCACATTCGTTTCCGCAAGAATCTGTGATTTTGAGGATTTGGAAATCATTGATATGTGCATTGACGGCATGATGGACATGGCAATGCTATGTTAGGTCTCAAGACTCTCAACTTCAATAACTTAAGGGGGGTTGCGGGTGTTGATGGTTTTGCTTTATAAAACAAAATCCACTGCTTTCCATGTCAACAAAAGCAATAAATTTTTGCTCCTGTGGCACATGTTTTTGTTATAGAAAACAAAACAATTCGCAGTAGCGAACACTCTTTAAACCATGCCATGATTGGTAGTACATATTCAATTCTTCATTTGCCTCCTAGGTAAAATGTATATGCCCGAGAGCATTGTACTTATCAATTGTTTCAGTTGCCATCCAGTTTATAATAGCCTAATTAGTTCAACCTCCACCCATCGACATGTCAAGATAATACAATGTGAAGTTCCTATTGTACCCCTTTCTTCTAAATCCCAAAATCGAAAAATCTTGTTTTCTACAAGTTTCAAACCCAACATTCGAAACCCCAATATTCCCTCCCTCACTGTGGGTCATCCTATGGAGTTTGTTCGATAGTTTGGGCAATATCTAAAAGCAAAGGGGAATTTATGAGTTGCTCCTAGTGTTCTCTCACCATAGTGAAAGGATATTGGATATATGTTATTTTGAATTGTTTTTGTTCCATTTTCCTTGCACCGCACTGGCCGGTATCTTTGTTTTCTCCTACTTTGTTTGAGGTTTAAGGAAGCTCAAGCTGAATCGTCACCAAATTTCCAACAACAGAGGTCATTGGAGTTCTATCCACATCTTACTTGCATACGGTAGGGCATTGACTTCTTGGAGGAGGTAACTATGTTTGTATTTTGGTCCACCTTAAATAAATTATGTTCTTATGAACGTTTCTATCATTGATCACAATACAACAATGAATTGTTCGGATGGCTAGTGTTATGGTTCACAACTACGGTTTGATGGATTTAGGTTAAGGAGAGCAAAGTATAATCCTATGTCATCACGAGGGAATTTGTTAGTTCGTTATAATAGGAAATGCCAGTGGTTATTGAAATGTGAATTTATTGAATTACTGCTTTACTTGAAAAATCAAGGAAGGTAACATACCTCACAGTTGGTTTTTGAAGATGATAAAGGACTTGTGACCTATGATCAATTGGTAAGTTTCAATATTTTGAAAAGATCACTAATTAGTTAAATGCTATTGGCTGTCTTGGTTTGTTGTTATTATAAATCAGGAACTTTAGTGGCAACAATTTGATTCATAAAGTTGTTGAGTATAATTTTGGCATGTGTCTTGTTTGAGAATATTCTGTCGATTGTGTAATTGGTTTTGATAGTGTTTTCAAGGAAGTCATATACGGTAGGAGAGGCAAATCAATACACTAGGGATTCACCACTATATCTAGTACATGAAGAAAATATGGGTGCACCCATTTGTTGTTATCTCAACCCATTGGTGTACTATGATATTAATGTAGGGTGAGGGTTTATACAAGTAGATAAAGTATTGAAAGTGATAAATATTGTTGGATGTTGATAATTCTATAAGTGTGAGAGAACATGGCATCTATGAATGATTGTTGATGTTGTCTAGGAATCAACCAATGAATTATTGTTTTGGATAGAATGGCAATATTTGTGGTTGATAGGCAAGTATGGCAATTGTTGCTTAGAAATGACTAGTACCTTGCTTGGAGTAAAATGCAGTACCAGGAGAACCCAAACAACAGAGGAAGATAGAAGGAGAATAGTGAAAGGCAATACCAAAAGAGTAAAAAGATAGTAGAAGAGGAAAGAGAGAATGATGATTACAGTAGTATGAAGTTCATATAAGAAGGAAGTGTTGTATATATAGAAAATGATCAACAAACAAAACCATTTGCCAAGGAAATGAAATTATAATGGCTATTCACCAAGTCAATCAAACACTGACTGCAATACGAAGAGACATAAACTTTACACAATTAATCCCACTGAAATACGAAGAGACAGACACTTTCCCAATCGAGCATGCAAAACAATACAGTAAAAAACCCCATTGAAATACGAAGAGACAAACACTTTATACGATTAATCCCAGTCGAGCATGCAAAAAAAAAAAATAATTCTTGGATGAGAACTGCTGCAAGTGACGGGAGGACATAATCTATCAGATTTATCATCGATAATATCTATGCAGCATGTAGTACACGTGTCCATCATGCAAAAATAATTGATCATACTTCCCTGGAAGGTCGCCGGAAAACGACAAGGTAGGCTCTCTTTCGGATTCCAAAACAGGGCCATGGATCTTGAAGGGCAAAACAGGACCATTGAGACCTTCCTTCGAACATCAGCGTAAACAAGACCATCGAAGGTCGCTGGAATCTTGGAGGGCAAAACAGGAAGGTTGCCAGAATCTTCGAAGAGGAGACAGGCTCTCCTTCGGACAACAACGTAAAGAGGGCCATTGAAGGTCGTCGGACAGTAGCGTAGATAGGGAAACTCGAAAGAGAGGGCAAAATAGGAAGGTCGCTGAAATCTTCGAAGAGGAGACAGGCTCTCCTTCGGACAACAACGTAAAGAGGGCCATCGAAGGTTGCCGGACAACAGTGTAGACAGGGATTATTGGATGAGAACTGCTGCAAGTGACAGGTGGACATAATTTATCAGATTTATCAGCGATAAGATCTATGAGGCAACATGTAGTACACGTGTCCATCATGCAAAAATAATTAATTGGTCGCCGAAGAACGACAAGGTCTCCTATGCAAAGTAGGCTCTCTTTCGGATTCCAAAACAGGGCCATGGATCATGAAGGGAAAAACAGGGTCATTGAGACCTTCCTTCGAAGAGGAGACAAGCTCTCCTTCGGACAACAACGTAAACAGGGCCATCGAAGGTCACCGAAATCTTGGAGGGCAAAACAGGAAGGTCGCAAGAATCTTTGAAGAGGAGACAGACTCTCCTTTGGGCAGTAGCGTAAAGAGGGCCATCGAAGGTCGTCGAACAACAATGTAAACAGGGAAACTTGAAAGGGAAATAGGGAAAGAGAGGGCAAAACAGAGAGGTCGTTGGACTCTTCGAAGAGGAGACATGCTCTCCTTCGTACAACAGTGTAAAGAAGGCCATCGAAGGTCGCCGGACAACAACGTAGACAGGGAAGCTCGAAAGGCTAAGGAGCTCTATCAAAGAGGGAGACTCAAAACCCACGTGGGACTCTCGCACGATTGGGTTGCTTTGTTTTGCTTCCATCTACACGTGGGACTCTCTCTCTCTCTCCGTAATGAGAGAGAGAGATTAATCACCATTAGACATAATATGAAAGATGGAAATTCAGGGGAGGTTTAAGTCTTTTACCAAAAATCTTCATAAACCCTGAATATGAGCCGGGAGCCTGGGCCTGGATAGCATAAACTCAACTTCGGAGTTCGGACTAAGAATTAGGGCTATCGGTCAACTTATTTTGCTTAAACCTTGGCCCACGGGCCACAACGGCCCAAGTTTTGTCTCTACTAGCTTACTCAAATACTCGCCTGTCACCTCACCACCTTCTCCCTGGCTTCTTGCCTTCTTGGTGCGCAAGTTTAACCAAGCGGTGCCTTCGTCTTTGTTGAACAGAAAACTAGAAAACTTTCTGCATTTCCTCTGTGTAACGATCGAAGAGCTTAACTATGAGTCGTGGAAGTGGAGGTGGTTATGATCGCCATATAACGATCTTCTCCCCCGAAGGTCGTCTCTTTCAAGTCGGTAAGTATTCTCGTCCGCCACTGCAGTATCTTATGACATTTCCCCTAAAAAAGGGTTGAAAGAATTACGGGACCCAAATATTTGAGACGCATGGATTTTCTCTGGTTTTATTTGAGATCTGCATTGAATTGTCGCATCACGGAACTGCTTGATTTGTTTACATGCTTTTTGACGAGGTTTTCTAGGTCCTCCCGACCCCCCGCCCCTCCACCCAACCCCAAGAGCGCAATAATTGAAATTTTTGCTATGTGGGTCTTTGAATGGATGAACAGAGTACGCTTTCAAGGCCGTTAAGGCTTCTGGGATCACCTCGATTGGTGTCCGTGGAAAGGATTCCGTATGCGTTGTCACACAGAAGAAGGTCCCGGTGGGTGCAATTAGCAGATTATGTCGAAATTTCTTTAATTTATAGTTGGAATTGTTGTGCCTAATTTGGTTCCCGGTTTCTGATGCAGGACAAGCTTTTGGACCAAACTAGTGTTACACATCTTTTTCCCATTACCAAATATCTTGGACTATTAGCCACCGGAATGACAGGTTTCCTCCTTATGTTTTTCTGCATAACTAGCTTCTTTGAGTAATGATGCTGTCTAAATACGCAGTATATATTGGGGGGTTTTAGAGATAGAGATGTTGTGAAACTTGTTCCCCCACTCCCATCTGGTTTTAATGGTTGAATTTTGGAGTGTTGGTATATAAACGACAATGATTTTGTTTTAATTGGCATGCGTTTCTGTTTTTCCTCTTCAATTATAGTTCATAAAGACGATACAAATAGCAGGGCTGAAATGAAGTGAAAACACATAAAAGTAGTCTGTATGCATTTACTGAGATAAGAGGTAACAAGAGAATCCCAAGTGAACTATAGTGGAGCTAATGCACCAAATCATGCCAAAAGTCTGCGGTCAAACATTCCTGGGCAAAAGTAGGAGTAGGACGAGATTGAAGACTATCCGCACTTGTTTTAACGTGAACCTCTTAAAAGGGAGAAGAAGAAGAAATATAGAAAAATAAATAAAAAAATAAAAAGTCAGAGAAAAGAAATCAGTACAGATCTTAGAATTGTAAGAGCACCTATTAATCTAAGATCTACATATTGATGCTATTCTCACATGGGAAGGTTTGACTAATCGAGTGCCATTCTTTTCACAGAGGAATAGCTAATTGTGATTTTGACATGTTAGGGAATATAGAACTTTGGCATCCAAAGCGAACATTCCTGTTGATCTGAGTTTCATTGTCTGATAATTCATTTGCAAACAGTCTAGCCAGGGTTAGGGTTTTGAGGAAGAATTTGTATTGGGGATTATGTTTTTTTTTTTTTATTAGTAATATAAACTACCCTTTGAGCTGAAATCCTGGGGCAATATGTGTTATTTTTGAGCAGTGATTTAAAAGGCATGCCTGAGACGTGACTAGGCACTTAGGTGAGGTGCATTTTAAGGTATGCGTCTCGCCTAGTCCCCAGGCACAGCACTTTCAAAGTGTTCATGCCTGGTGTGCCTTGCACTTCAGCCCAGGCATTCACCTATTTTTGCTCTTTTTGTTCTTTTTTCAACATAGCGGCACCCCCTATTTGCTAATTTGTTCAGTCATTAATCCTAGTAAATTATCTTCTTAAAAGGCAATTAACTTTTTACGATCAGCAACACAGAATTTATTTATTGATAAGATTAAAAAAGCATATACAACAAGAAGTTGTGGGCAGAAGGATAAACCCAAGAGAAGAAAAACCACTAATTACAAACCATTAAAAAGCAATTAAAAGTATGAAATCATTTTTTTTTGTGTGTGTGGAAGGGTTAAGAATTTAAGACCCTAACATAGAGTTGTTTGGGCTTGCCTTAAAGGGCTTGGTACAAAGGTGGCTCGTAGAATCAAGAGTGCAAGATGTTCTACATCACATTAGCTATTTGAAGTAATGCAATTAATGAAAAAAAAAGAAATTGTGGGTTTTACATGCTTGAAAGTGTTTTATATGTTTGGTTTTATTTTTAAATTTTCATTTGAATGCACTTTGCATGTTATGTTTATGTATTTTAATTTTAGACATAGTTTTTTAATATTTATTTTAAAATTTAAGTTTATATTTTACTAATATTATGTTTAGTATATATATTTTTACTTTTTTTGCATTTTTGGCATTTTTTGTATTTTTGCGCCTTTCTTCAAAAAGGTGTGCGCCTTGCCTTGCCTTGTGCCTTGGGCGCAAATTGCCCCTAGTGCATTTTTTTTTTGTCGTGCACTTGACACTGTTTTTGAGTTTGTGTTCTTTTTATAATTGGTCTTCGTTTAGGTCATTCTGCTTCCCCTTCTATTTTAAGGCAGGAATTCTTGTGTTTGTATTTTCTTTATTTTATTTTTCCCTCTTCCCTCCATTTTGATAGCTTTTTGATACGCTCAAGTTATCTAACAAGAGGGAGAAGGATCTAGAATAAGGAGAAGAGAGAGAGAGAGAGTTTGTTTGTAGAAAAGCCAATGCCAACTYYATTCATTCAGGCTATATTTATAGCCTTATGGTGCTACAAACTGGGAGTAGAAATAGGAACTACT